CAAACACTCAGCAAGCACCTGCATTTATGGCCATTTGCAGGATCCCATGGTCATATAACTGTTTTGTGAGATTTATTTTACAAAAACCAGCATTTACTTCCAATTTTTGGCAAAAACCATAGGAAACATTGGTTTGCTTAACCACCATGGCAAAAAGGGTCATAAAATGTTTATGACCACCGTGACTTATGACCATAATGGGCAGGCTCCATTACTGTTGTAAGTCAGCATACAGGATTATATTCTGTAATCCTCTATAAAGGCTTCCCACTCACTGAATCTGAGCAACATACTTTGCCACTGTTTCTAGACAAAAGTGTCCACTTAGATTCCCTTTGGCCACCTAACACCATCATAGCTATTGAGAATGATCCAGCCTTACCTATTTTTGCATCTCAAATCTACCCATGTGCAATCTGTGGTCAGAAAAAGAAGTCTATGCACAGTCCTCTGCTAGCAAAAGACTGGTCAATCTTGCATTAAAGAAGAATAGCACTCTGCAACTACTACTCCTAATCCGCAACTGTATTTCTCAGTTTTGGCACAGGCAAATCTCGGGGAAAATCTGATTAGCCAAATACCTGGTTTGCATGTAGAGGGTCCAGTTTCATTGAACAATCAGCAAAGAAAGTAGCAGCAGTGTGTTCATAAAGGGAAGGAAAAAAAACGGAAAAGGACAATGAATGTGTTCCATGAGGTTGTGTGCTCATATCTGAAAAGGTAATCTCTTTGAGCTAACTACAGATTGACAACCAAGGTTGAATGCCTACTTAGGCTTTGTAACAGTTTTGTACAAACCTAAATGGTACACAGTGTTGAGTGCCTAAGAAGGACTAGGGTGACATGATAGTGGTGTTCCAATATCCGTAAAGAAGGGCGGGGGGGGGGTATAACCTATTCTCCAAAGCACCTGAAGGTAGGCCAAGAAGCAATGGATGGAAGCAATCAAGGAGAAAAGCAACCTAGAACCAAGGAGAAATTTCCTGACATTTAGAATAATTAATCAGTGGAACAACCTGCCTCCAGAAGTTGTGAATGCTTCAACAATGGAAGTTTTTAAGAGACTGGACTGCCATTTGTCTGAAATGGTATTTCTTGCCTGAGCAGGGGGTTGAACTAGAAGACCTCCAAGGTCCCTTCCAACTCTCTTTTTCTGTTACTTCTTCCTAAGTAATCAGAGTAGGAACAACATAAGGCAGCCAGGAACAGTATCACTGAGTAAGAAAAATAGCCAACACAAGTGGGAATTTAGCAGGGTCGTTTGGTAAGAGTTTTCCCAGTACCTGACTGACCTGAGACTGAGAGAAGAAAAATAAACAGAAGTCTTAATGATGGTACCTTAAGAAACAAAAGCAGAGCTGAAAAGATAGGGCTCTGCAGAAGTGACCTGCAATGCTTGTGATGTGCTTGTGTTCCTTCTGCAGAACAACCTAACATATATTTGCAAGCAAATTCAAGCGTTTAGAAAAAGTCAAAGATGGAACAATGAATAGCTACACTTAGGTGTTCTCGGACAGAGAAACATTCTGCCTTGCACATAAGATAGCTCCCCTATTTAAATCTATTTTATGAAACAAGCATCTAAAAAGAAAACATGAACAACAACATTCAGTGGAACAAGAAGCTGTGAACATCAAGGAAACTATCTACAGGTGCCCTGGCGCCCCAGAGGCACCATGTTCATAATCTTGGCTACAAAATCTTAATATAGCAGATTGCGTGTAGGATTCTAAGTGTCAAGTTTTCTATTTAAAATTAAAACCAAGACTGAAAAGAGGGAGCTGTTACAAAACCACTCAGTGCCTAAAATAAAAGTTCCTTTGGGCTAATCTTCCTTTCTCCTGGTCTGTAAAAACCATGACCAAAATCACGGTAGACTTAACTAGATTGTGGAGAGCAAATTCACTCACGCCTCCAAAAGTTATGAGTTTATCATTTTCACTTTTGTCCTTGGTCAGGCTGGCTGGAGTAAAACTCAAAATAACTATAGGGGTTGCATTCAGTTGGAGCAACCTGGTGGGATCTATTTCTAAACTTCCCATCCCAGCATTAAGCAGGTCTGACTGGATAGAGAGGATTACTGGTTTGAAAGAGAGGTAAAAGAGGCCATGTGTGTTAAAATTCAACAGCCCTCTCTCAACAGAGGGGGAGGAACAGGACACCATATATCTCTTATTTACAACACAGTCTTTCAGCAGTTCCAAGAAGGTTCCTCACCCATTTGAACTATTCAGGTGATCCTGAGGGCACAGATAACCCCCAAGTGGCCTCAATGGCTCTCAGAGAGAGTGCTAACAAGCAGATGATTTCAAAGAAATATAATCCTTCTATCCACTAACCATCCAGTCCAAAATGAAGAAGCTTCTTGGATGAGAAGCAAAATGTCTTCTTCAAGAAAAAAACATAGCCCAGTTGCCTTTTGCAAAAGCGCCTTTGAGACAACCACGTCCTGGATGACTGAGAATCTCCGTAGACAGGTCTGACCCTACTTTTTCAAATCTGGGTAAGATCTGTCAGGTGCTGCCATCTGCTGAGATAAAGGAGACTTCCCAGCTATAAATGCTAGCATGGATTAGATGAAATGGCTCATAATGACTCAAGAACTAGTGGGAAAGATGCCAAAGCTCAAAATACCAGCCGAGACTCATTAAAAATTGACCTTTCCTTTTGTGATTAAAAGGAAAATTATTCAACATACGGCAAGTAATCATGTTAAATTGATTCGGTATGGATAGTTTCTGATCAGGCTCTGCCTGCTTCTTTATTTTGGCTCAGTCCATTTGGTGTACGATTAAAGGATGTCACTCAAAGGACAAGGATTATGCAGCAGGCACATATTTGTTAAAGGCCTTTGGTGCAATTTCTCCTTGCCTTTTTTCCTTGATCGTCTCTAGATCAAGGATCAGCAACAATGCAGGTGCATCACCAGTAGATGGCAGTCACTCTCCTCCAAAATAAAAAAAAGCAAAATATGTGTATACATACATACATACATACATATAGTTTTCAAAAATATGCTATTTTTCATCTAAATATGAAATTGTGGGATTTGGCTGCATATAACTCGCAGGATTCGGAACATTTTAAATTTCTTTGCAAAGTTGCATAATCACACTTGCCACTACCAGAAAAGTTTGTAGACCATTAGGCAGAATATACTGGATTTAATAACACAATTACAGGATTCATTCCTAACTTTATTTGCAACATACAATCCGAAATAAAATATTGTCTCAACCTGTTTTATAGTGCAAGAATGGTGAAACGTTCTCCTGCCGGTTGCTTTATATCTTATGTCGAGATATTTTCTTTAGTAATACCAACATTCACAGGGGGGGGAGAGAAAGGGGTTATACAATGTATGCTTTCTATTTACATTTGCTGTTTCTATAAAGAACAGGCCTTCTTGAGTTATTTACGGTGTTTGCTTTCTTCCTTAGCACAAAAGCCAGCTGGTCTGTGATATACTGTACACAAATTGAATACTAAGTCTAAGTAGAAAATTGAGTGTCGACATTCCAAAACAAGTGAAATATCTTGGATGGGGTTTATAAAACTTAAACTTCCAATGACCTCATGGCGGTCTCCATATTTACAGCTTTATCTTCATATTTGTACAAGGCAAGGTCAGTATGTTGTCTCTGTAGTGTCTTTAAAAGATGTATAATTCAGTGCAGTATTTAAAGAAAACTTAGAACCAAAGTGCTGGAAGGGATCTTGGAGAACTTCTAGTCCAATCTCCTGCCCAAAGTAGGAGACCTTACACCAGGGGTCTTCAAACTTGGCCCTTTTATGACTTGTGGACTTCAACTCCCATTATTCCTCAGACCCCTGCCTTACATCATACTGGACAAATAGATGTCCAACCTTTTTTTGAAAACCTCCAGTGATGGAGCACCTACAACTTTGAGAGGTAAGCTGTTCCATTTGTTAATTGCTCTTGCTGCCAGGAAATTTCTCCTTAATTCCAAGTAGGATCTCTTTTTAATGGACTTCCACCTATTACTTCTTATCCTGCTCTCAGGTGCTTTGGAGAATAAGTCAACCTCTTCTCTGCAACTACCCCATAAATATTGGAAGATTTTAACTCAGTGGTTCTCAACCTGTGGGTCGGGACCCCATTTGGGGTCGATTGACCATTTCACGGGGGTCACCAAGCAAGGCTGTCCGCCATTTTTTTTGTCCGCCATTTTTTTCCCCTTTTCCGGCGGGTGCCTTACTTCCCTTGAGCTGGGCCAGCTGGTGGTCGGCCTGCTCCGTCTCTGCCGCTTGCCAACTACACCTCGGCCGGCGCAGGGGGCGGAACCACGCATGTGCGGCGCTCCCGGGCAGGGAAAGTCCTCAACTTACGACCGGTTGGGTAGTCCTCGACTTACGACCGGTTTAGTCCTCGACTTACGACCGGTTTAGTCCTTGACTTACGACCGGTTGGGGTCGCGGCATTAAAAAGGTTGAGAACCACTGCTTTAACTAGTCCGGATAGTTAAAGTCCTCCATTACTACAGTGGTGTGTTTGCTGCACAACTTCACAAACTATCTATTTCCTCTGCTTGATGTGACCTATAGTATACACCTATAGCAATGTCATTTCTTTTTCCTTTAATATTCACCCAAACAAATTCAAGAGGGCTTTCATCCTGGGCATTATGTATTGCTGTTGAACAATTTATATCCCTCTAGAGAAAAAATATTGGTGAATTCTGAGGAGGAATTAAATAAATGTATAGGATTACCCACCAGAGGCCTTAAAGTCTACAAGTGGTGATAAAAACATTCCCAGTTGCTGAAGACATGTCCCCCAACAGGGATGTTGCCATATTTGTGCATTTGGGGGGGGGGAAGTCTATGCATCTGTAGGCACCAGGTTGGGGAGGCCACCTTTGGGACCATTTGCCCAAATCAAGACTTAGCATCTGCTGGAGCCAAGATGAGACAAAAGAAGAAAACACAAACTTCAGGAAAAGATTGGCAAAAGAAGAGACAAAAATAGAGAAGAATATTTTAATTTGTGGAAGAAAAATGAGCACTCAGTAGGAATTGTTTTTGTGGCTGACCCAAATAACACTTTTCTTGCTGGTAGAGAGGATTTCAACTCTTGATGTGCCCATTCCTCGCTGTAATAAATATCATGACAGTAAATCATACTAGAATACAAGCATCTTGCTCGTCAAGTTCAAACAATTGCTCCAGGAGAACAATGCAGAAATGTGACTTACAGCAAGCTAGCACAGGTAGCCAAGAAAGAAGAAGCTGCTAAGAGATAAAAGTTCTATACACCCCAAGTGACAATATTTTAATGGCGCAAAACGACGTTTGAAGCAAGCAGGGTTTCAAAAGAAATTCCACAGGAACTGAAATGCCTTATCTAGAAATCAAAGGATAGACAGGATCGGGAATCAAAGCATCTGATCCTTCCTCCCTCCCCCAAAAGAGAAGATACATGTTACTAAAGCATCAGAAGACCAGTCTGGTGATTTCTGAGTGGCTCATTCAACTGAGCTTTCGAACAAAAGCGTTGCTATTCTGAGGACAGTTCTTGTGACACACACAACTAGTAATGGACATCAGAGGATGCTGGATGGTGTTGCCTTGAGGACAACGGAATTCCACCTGGATTGTTTTTGTCGTGTGTGGAGTGCAGCACCGTCCATCGTTGCAGATGCCACAGTAACGGGGTTTATACATATGGATGCTGGTGCAGTTCTGGTACTCCAGATGGACAGCTGTGGGAGGCTTTATAGTTCGGAGACATTTTTTCCCCTTCTACGAGAAACCGCAGAACATGAATTAGATGGACAACCACATTCAAGTTAATGCAACATAGCTGTGATTACATTAGGATGGAACGGGCATCCTTTCAATAGCTGGAGGCCACTTGTAATGCTTTTTGGGTTGTGATGAAAATCTGAGTGTGTGGGCAAGGATGTAAAATAAGAGATCTATGCAGAAAAGTTTTGCATAGAAGACCTTCCCCTTGGGCAAGTCTGGTAATTTCAGTTATATTGAAACTGCAGAAAAAAGTGAGGAATTAGTGGAAAACATCCCTTTTCTTATGTACATGTTTCTTTCTTTTTTTTACAAATAGGTGCCTACAGGCTGTAAATCGTGAGTTAAGATGAACCTTATTTCTTATGCTTCACTTTAAGGCAGTGGTGGTGAACCTGGCACGCGTGCCAGAGGAGGCACTCGGAGCCCTCTCTGTGGGCACGCGCGCCGTCGCCCAAGCCCCGCCTCCCCCCCACGGCCCCCTCACCAGCAGCCCCCCTGGAGGAGAATCGCCCCCGGGCACAGCCCGCACAGAGCAGCGCAGCCAAGGACATAGCCGGGCACCAGGGTGCACGCCCTGTAATGCTGTGGGGTGTGGATGGAGGGCGTGGCTGACATGGCGCTGCAGGGCTGCCCGGGCGATCTGCTGCGGCGGGCCATGGAGGCGGTGCATAGCCCTGCGGGTGGGCGGGGCAGGCAGGGGCGGAGCAGGCAGGGCGGGAGGAGGAGTGGGGGTAGGGGGCCAGTTTTGGGCACTCGGTCTCTAAAAGGTTTGCCATCACTGCTTTAAGGTATCACCATAGCATGTTTATCTCAAATTGCTTTTCAGTGATATCAACACAGCACGGTCTAAGATCCTTGATCACAAGGCTAGCCACTTGGTGTAGGGAGTTAGTCAGGCATATTTGATAGAGAAGACTTTGGAGCTTGCACAAAAACCTTTTCTGAACTGCAATTCCACTTGGGCTTTGCAGAACCATCTTTCAAGTGAATCTCCAAGCAGAGGCTTCACATAGCCCTAGCAATCTTCATACGCTTTCTAACCTCAAAAAGGATAGGCCTCAGATCCAGGAAGCCCAGAGAAACACTTGGTTTAAATTTCAAAACTGGCAGGATTGGATGATGGCGACAGGATAAAAAAAAAAAAAACTACTTAAATTTTGCCTGTTACATAGAAACATGCAAAACAGAGATGCTCATCATGGCAACCACGGTTATTGCAAGGAAAACAGGCAGCTTTCTTTGAGCCTGTGAACATTTAACTTTGGGGCACTACGTTCTTCTCTCTGGGGCAAAAAACAACAACAACACACAACTCCAACTGTTCTGCCATAAAAGGGAATAAATGTTCATTAGTGCCCCAAACGTCTCTTCCTTTCTTAGAGAAAACATTCCCAGAATAGTCTTATAGTACATTAGGTCACAGTGTTTCTCAACCTTGACAATTTTAAGGCATGTGGACTTCAACTCCCAGAATTCCACAGCCAGCATTGCTGGCTGTGGAATTCTGGGAGTTGAAGTCCACATGCCTTAAAATTGTCAAGGTTGAGAAACACTGCATTAGGAAGTCTGAAGCATAAAGTTTGACATGGCTCAAAATCTTGAAAATATCTTTGGAGGCAGATCCCAACTATTAACCACACTAGCACATTATTTGTTAAAGAAACACGGAAACTTTGGGTATAGGTGGATTCAACTCTCTAAACTGAAAGTTAAAAGATGACCATATTATTTTATGGTTTGCACTTCCAGTAGTACATCTATTGCTGCTTCAGTGTCAAGAGCAAATTTAATGAAAAGAAGGGCAAAGGGTGACATGTTAGCAGTGTTCCAGTATCTAAGGGGCTGCCACAAAGAAGAGGGGGTCAACCTATTCTCCAAAGGACCTGAAGGCAGGACAAGAAGCAATGGAGGGAAACTAATCAAACAACCTAGAACTAAGGAGAAATTTCCTGAGAGTGAGAACATTTAGTCAGTAGAACAGCTTGTCTCCAGAAGTTGTGGGTGCTCCATCACTGGAGGTTTTTAAGAAAAGATTGGACAACCATTTATTTGAAATGGTATAGGGTTTTCTGGTTGAGCAGGGGGTTGGACTAGAAGACCTCCAAGATCCCTTCCAACTCTGTTACTCTATTATTCCATCTAAGACACTGCCTAGATGGCCTTCTTTGACCATCTAGTAGCACTCTAAGCTACTATTTGGGTCCTGCTGTTACTGATGGTAGCATCTACATATTAGATGGCTGCCAAAGAGATCGGTCACAAGCATAAATTCTCATAAGGTTATTTTGTACTGGGCTCCCACTAAGGGAATCTTGCTCAGCTTGTATTTTCTGGTTTTACTGGGACTGCAATTCTCATAATTCCTCTCATAATTCAAAAAATCCCAGGAACTGCATCCGTTATTTCATTGCAGTCTTTTAAAACCCTTCTGAGGCTCTGGATTGAGGCTCTGGATTGAGGCGGTGGGATGCAGTTCCTGGGATTTTTTGATTATTATGTTAACTAGGAATTATGAGAATTGCAGTCTTTGCTACTCTGCAAACTTTGCCAGTCTTCTGATAGGTTCATACAGCATCAGATTCCATATTGCACTCATAATATATATGAGTTCTGGCTAAAGGAATGCTCTTCATTGTCCACATTGAATCAGTTTTGTGAGTAGAATTAGAGAATTAACAAATGGCTTGAGAGATCATAGACCATCTTTTGACACATTGGCTAGTTCTGCAACAGCCCCATTGCTTCTGTTACACTTGTGTTTAATGTGTGATAGGAGACTACCAAAACCTACACTGTCACAATGACAACTCCATTTCAGAAGCCGTTTCTGGAAATAAATGCATACTATATGACCTGCTGGATCAGGCTGAGATACATCTAGTCCATGAGTCTCCAAACATGGCAACTTTAGACTTGTGGACTTCAACTCCCAGAATTCTTCAGCCAGCCATGTTGTCGACAAGTCTTAAAGTTACCAAGTTTGGATACCCCTGATCTAGTCCATCATTGGTATTTCCCACAGTGGCCCAACCCAAGACACTCAGGACTCTCACAAGTAGGTTGGAAGAAATAACTGAAATAAGGAAACTGACAACCAACTCAACCTTTATCTCCAAGCCAAGATTCTACGTGCTCTTCTCTTTCAAATTAGTACAGGTTAGCACCATCACGTGAATGAATTGCAAGCCATACCTTATCAGGTAGTGGACTCTTTTCACAGGGACGCACTTCACACAGCCTCATCTCTTTCACCATCTCACACATGGGGTTCTTGTTGGTGACTCTGGTGGAGGCTCCCATGCCGCAGCTGGTGGAACATGCACTCCATTCCGTTGTCTGCTCAATGCAGTTAGAACTTGAGTCAGAACCTTCAGCCCCCAAGGTAGCTTCCTGTCTGAATCCTGAAGGCAAGATTACCACAATGAACTGCTCAGTTGCCCACACAATAAAAGATTAAGATATTAGCCCCAAACTGGAAAGGATAAACTTGGCTATCAGTGCATGGCTCAAATCATGTCCTGCAGGCTACTAAAGACTTTTTTTTAAAACGACCTTGTAATTCCTTTGATTGGGGTGGAATTGGGATGACTGAATGGAGTGAGTGTTTACAGGCTGGATACCCTTCCTGATGCCTATGCGGAGTTCAGAGCAGATATTTTCTCTTCGTGCCCTAATAGAGAAACATCTGTTGCTGCCTAGGATTGAACTCCCAATCTTCTGAGTGGAGGCTACTAAAGAATGTAAACTGTTGCCAAAAAACTCCAAACAAATTCAGCCACACCAAGAAACCTGTTACACTGGTCCTACTGCACATTAATTGCATTATAGTTTCAATCTATTTCTGGGTCTTATTTAATCTGCTGTTGCTTGTAAAGTTCTAGGTCATCTAAAATGCCATCTGCTTCCACATGGCCCAGTCCATAACTACTATATACAGGTACTCCTTGACTTATGACAACAGTTGGGAGCAGAACTTCCATCACTAAGCAATGCGTGGTCATTAAATGTGTCATGCCCAAGGCTATGACCTTTTTGCCATTGTTAAGCAT